AACTGCAGTCAGCTGAAGTAGCCTGCAGTGCTGCATTTAACCACTGCGCCACCTTGGCTTGAAGTAACATAGTATCAGCTATGCTGACTGCAGAAAAGTGTTACTTAATTATACAACTACTTTGTATTAATGAACATCACTCATTCCCACTATTATTATTTTGACAGACTTTGCCAATAGCAATGCCCACATTTACAGCTCATATGCAAAATAAAGAGTTGTTGTTTTATATACTTATTGCAAACCTATATTTCTGCAGAATAAAATACAACTGATATTTAATATTCTGTGATATTTTCAATTTCTGAAAGGGATCCTGAAGTTCAATATCAAGATAGCACAGAAGTACTTAGAAACCAAAATAGCTTCCATCTGGTTCAATAAATGAAATCAGCATAAAATCATTTTTGCATTTCTAAATGCATGCTGGAGATTTCTTATCTGTAGGCAAATGTCCAGACTGCATACAGAAAGTCTCAACAGAGTACAGCAAGACAGCATCTTTTCATCACTTTAAATGCACTTGGTAACTCCATATTAATAAGCACAATAGATAAGATCAGAAAATAAGTACAATATTCTAAAATCAGGATTAAAAAATGAAATCCCAAAGAGGGCTTGCTTTAGAGAGCATGCAGATGTAATATATACTCAGCAACACAAGCATAAGTTATAGTGATGCCACCATAATTGCATGTTCCTGACAGTACTCCTTTTCTTCTTTTTATGTTTCTATCAAGAAAAGTTGAATCGGGAATGGCTACTGACTTAATCATATGGTGTGTAATTACTTCCCATTGCTCCAGTAGTTCATTTTTCTGTTACCCAAGCATATATTAAACTTGATATTAAGTTTAGAAAATAAAATCCCAATCTCAGGAAGTAAGAAACACTCAAGTTGCTTGAAGCAATACTTGAAATGATGACAATTTTAAAAAGTTCAATTTTGCTCCATTCTCAAACTCTCAAAACACCCTTAGATCATGGGTGTTTTATTTCAGGAAGATATTGCTTGATCAGCTGATTCATAATCAAAATGGTTCTTCTTGGAATCATTTTGCATGCCCCTAATTATTCAGAATAATTTAGAAATTAGTGTGTATAATTGTATAATTTCCAAAATTAGTTCCCCAAATATTTTTATTCTGCATGGGATTCCATGTTTGACATGTTGTTAAATGATTCAACTCATTGTTGAACTCTTTAAAAGGGGGGACTTTAAACTGATTTGTTTCTGCATTTGTACATGTTTTATTACACATGCATTCGCTTCTATGCATTTTTGTGCTCTATATTTAGAATAAAATACCATTGATTAGCTGCATGATGTATTTAATATATTTTGGGTTCTTTTTCCTCCTCTTTTATGCATGCTTAATGCATTATATTACTGGCAGTCAACAGACCACAGGGCAGCTTGGGACCCCCATTCGGCCAATCCCCATCACTTGAGAGCTCACCTGGCAGCAGACAGACATGGTGGCTCGGTACAGGTATTTTCTGTTTTTTGTATGACTATTTCCGCATCTTAAACTCCTTGGACAAAAATGGCATGCATTTAGTTGCCATTTACTTCTAATTGTGTCCATAACTATACATCTTCTGTTATAAAAGCCATAATAAAAAAATCAGGCAAAAATTGTTTTTGTTTCTACAAGTGCTTGTAGAAGAACAGCCATCTGCATTTTGAAATATATTTGGATGATTCCTAGGCAATAAAATTGTTATTGAATGATGTGTAGTGAAAATGGCAGTACCATTAGAGCTTCAAATGATTGCTGACTCTTAGTAATTTGATCATATGAATCACCCGTTATAGTAACAATTTCCAGCTCTTATTTAATATCCTTTTATGCTTATGATTGAAAACAATATTGATATTCCTGTTATTATAATAATCCATTGGAAGTGTAATCAAATCTACCTCCCCTCGATATATTATCTGCCTTGTTTGTGAATGTTATATTTGCTTAATTAGTGAATAATTTCTGAAATATATTATGCCTATGTAGCTGTTCATTTTTCCTAAAACAGTCTTGAAAAACAAGTTTACTAAATCCAGTAAAAGTTGTTGCAGTCCATGTGATGTAAAGAGAGCTCATGTATCTATGATTATACAAATTTGCAAAAGAGAGAAGCAGATGGAATGTTCCCTGTCACCTACTATTCCTTCTCTGTTTCAGTAAGGATCTGGATTATTTCCTGCTGCTTTCTCATCAGTTCTTTTATACCTTTTCTTTTACTTTTACTTCTACCAAAGGGCTTATTTCATTTTTTTAAACCACCAATATCTCTCCATTGCTAATATATCTTTCTTATGTATTTTTGAATGGCTATATAGCAATTTGAAATCACCCAGACCCTTTGAAAAGGTATATTTGAAGAATCATTTGTCTAGCTGTAGTTGTCTAGTCTGCTGTTGTCTCCCATACTTAATGATAATCTAATTTCCTATATTAAATTACTGTAATTTGCATCTGAGACAGGATTAGTGATTTCGGGATAAGCCATAGAGATAATAATGCTTTACTGCATGATACATTCTGCTTTGTTGAAAGAAAATTAGACGGCTTCATTTTTTGAAAACTGCTCATAATTCCTAAGTAAAAAATATGTGTGCATTGTAACTAATATTGAAGTATAACATTATCTCCAAGGAAATGCACTTTGTTAATTATTGTTTTTTCTGTTGTTCCTGTAAAATTTCAGATTGTAGTCTTCAGCTTATATAGCNGCTAGGTTTGTAACTTTCAATGTCCATTCTTGAGTTATAGGCAAGTCTTCCTTCTTCCAGTATTGCTACTGCAGTGATTCTCTTAACAACTGTTCCGAAAAGGTTATAAATTGGAAGCAACTCACTTAACAACTGCTTTAACATCCTGTTCCCAGTTGTGGTCATATGTCAAGAACCACTTCTATGTCTTTGGTTCTCTGAGTTTAGTTGTTTGCTTGCTGATTATTACCAAACCAAGTAACTGATGAGTGTGGGATTTACTTCTTGTTTATAGACAGTGGTTTGCCTTACCAGTGTTGGTAGGCGGTGTGGTTTTCTCCTTGTTAATTCTTTGCTTAGGGTATTGTTTTCTGCTTGATAGTTCATCTGGTATTAATCACTACTTATTTGAGTGTTGGCTTTTGGAAGGTGGGGTGACATGTTTTGGTTTTTATTTCCTTCTTAGCTTTTTGTTTCTTTTGAATTGTAACTATAGTTTATTTTTATATGTCTGATTTCTGATTTGTATATTTTTATATGTCTGATGGCTGATTTGTTTCAATGCCAAGCCAATGCCAAGAAATTCCTCAGCATTTTTGGATTTGGCTTGGTCTAGGGTACTCTCAGAAACTGTGGTTGAGTTTTTCCATGTGTTGTGAAATTAATTTTTATTATGTTTTCAGACTGCTTATTAGTGTTCAGGAATGCAATGTGCCTATCCTACATAATAGCTGTTACAGTACTTAAATACTCAAGTTGTAAATGGCTCCTTTAGGCTTCTGTTTTTCTTCTTGGGCAACTGGATCTTTTGATTTAAGATATTTTAAAGGGATTTAATTGATTTGTCTGTTGTGGTGATGAATTTACTTATTGTAAGTTAATCTTATAATCAGTGAAATTATTTCCCTTTGTCCACATGTGCCAATACTAAAGGTTTGCAAGTCAAGTTATCATGGAAACTAAAAATAATCTTTCACTATTTCTCAAAATAAATATATTAATAGTTACTGTCGTCCCAGTTTTCTTATCATGTACCTCTAATACTTTTTGTGCAGCCTACTCCAGTGGGTTCCATCCATTCAGATCCTGCGATAACTTCCAATAGAGAAGCACATCCACACAGAGATAAGATGCAGCAGTCCAAAAATCAGGTATGCCATCTAGCAATATTGTATGCCAGTTTCATGTTGCATTTTAATAGTAATAGGTTGTGACTAAAATTATATATCATTTGTTTCTTTGAAGAAATATTTACTCATATCATTTTTTTGACTCTAGACTTTAAATAATCTTGTGTAATACTTCATTGTACAATATAATGTTAAAAAGTTATTATTGTTAATACAGGCATAATTAAATGGAATTTTAAAGTTTAATAGTGGATTTGAGATTATCCCATTGCTGTCTTCAAAGAGAATTTCTCCCTCTCTTCACAGTGGTTAAACATATTATCATGGGAATTAATTAAAGTTCTGTATAATCAGCATCCTCTTTAGATCAGGATTTGAAGCCCGCTTCAAACTCACATTTTACATATTTTTATTACTGAATTTTGTTTCTTTTGAGAGGTAATATTGAGGCTTCTAAACTAATTTTTTTGGCCTAAGAAAGGTAAAATTCATTCTAAAGAAGTGATCCACGGCTTTCATTTGGTCTTTTTATAATCATTGAAGTTGTTTATTATGACTCTTCTGAATCTTTTTTTTAATTTTAAAAAGTAAAACAATGACCTTTGAGTGTAAAATTAATATTATTATAATTCCTGTAACTAATTTGACTTTTCTTAGAATTTTTGGAATGAAAAATAACTACATGGAAAATAATTTTTGTGAGCAAGAATGAGTGATAACTTACTATACTGTACTTTATCTTAACTGAGTGATAATATACTATATTCTATTTTATCTTAATTTTTGTCTTTGCGTATACTCAAGTTTTTCCAGCTCTGTTGCATAAAACCTGAGAAAGGAAGTGGGGAAGGAAAGTAAGGAAGAGGGGCAGGGAAGAAAGCGAGGATGAAAGGAAGGGTGAGATACATGAATAGTTAGACTTATATACCGCTTCATAGGGCTTTCAGCCCTCTGTAAGCGGTTTACAGAGTCATGATATTGCCCCCAACAATCCGGGTCCTCATTTACCCACCTCGGAAGGATGGAAGGCTGAGTCAACCTTGAGCCTAGTGGGATTTGAACAGCCGAACTGCTTAACTGCAGTCAGCTGAAGTAGCCTGCAGTGCTGCATTTAACCACTGCGCCACCTTGGCTTGAAGTAACATAGTATCAGCTATGCTGACTGCAGAAAAGTGTTACTTAATTATACAACTACTTTGTATTAATGAACATCACTCATTCCCACTATTATTATTTTGACAGACTTTGCCAATAGCAATGCCCACATTTACAGCTCATATGCAAAATAAAGAGTTGTTGTTTTATATACTTATTGCAAACNCCAACACTGGAAGTCTTTAAGAAGATGTTGGATAGCCATTTGTCTGAAGCTGAATAGGGTTTCCTGCCTAGACAGGGGGTTGGAGTAGAAGACCTCCAAGGTCCCTACCAACTCTGCTATTGTATTGTATTATTGTATGTATTCCCTTAGCTCTCCTCCAAATTAGCTAGCTAGATAAAAAGAACTTTTTTCCTTTCAATTGGCTTCCTGCTTGAATTTCATCTAGAGTTCCAAAACATCAAAATCTCTGATCGGGGTCCGTTCCTCCCCCCCCCCTGCATTGCGCGAGCCTCGCCTCACATGGGGCACCTGCCCCACCTTGCTTGATGGCCAGCAAAGCATACGGCGAATAGCGGGCGCCACACATTTGCTCTGGAGCATTCCGCAAGATTTTTCTCAGCGGACAAGCCCCCTGGCGGTAACGTAACAATCTCTGTCCTTTTCAGACCAGCAATCAGCACCATTTGCATCTATTCTTTTGGCATGAGTCAGCAGCGGCCATTTTATTTCAGCGCAAAGAGGTGGTGGCCATTTTCCCCAAGACTGGGTGAGCTTTCCCAAGCGCATCGACCTCCCTCAGGTCCTTATAGCCACGAATCATGACCTCTCTGGTCAGGGGTGGAACAGGATCTTTTCAGTGGCCCACAGCCATCCCTTCCTGACAGTCTAATTGCCGGCGTCAAGAGAGACAATAAACAGGCAGCCCCAGATCCACGATCCAAAGGACGCCCGGCCAAAGTTTCTAAGCAACGCAAAAGGCGAAGCCTCATCGCCAATGGTTGTTGGACAAAGAGTTCCTCTCCCCTTTGGAGAGCTAGTCCTGCCTAACTTTTCTCTCTCTCCAAGACATAGGCTTGAGTGCAAATAGCACACACTCTTGATGTATGACACGCACTCCAAATTTATATCAAACGGACTGCTGGGTTCAGACACACATAGGCGTTGTTCGTCTCATTTCAGCAGACCAGACTGGGCTCCAAGGTATCTTCAAAGTCTATTGGATGCTGGATCAGATCCTGCATTTTAAAGTCCTACGGGTCCCAGGCCTTGCTGACTCCTCAACATATGACGACCCATTCTACCAGGAGTGCCGCCACGTCAGTGGCATGGTCCACTCAGGCCTCGGTCGAGGAGATCTGCAAAGTGGCTACATGGACATCTCCTCTCTTTGTATGTCATTATCTCTTGGATAGTTTTGCATCGGCGGATGCTGCCTTTGGAAGAAGAGTGTTGCAGCAGGTCCTCTCAACACAGAACACTGAGGTCCAGACATCAACCCTCCCTTGAGGCCAGGCCAGGCGTTGGTATGTCCCATCCTGGATGCTATCTCCACCAACTAGGGAGAATGGGTGTTGGTTCTTACCTGAGATGCCCGTTCTCTGGGTGGAGATAGCATCCAGGATGGGACATACCAACGCCTGGCCTGGCCTCAAGGGAGGGTTGATGTCTGGACCTCAGTGTTCTGTGTTGAGAGGACCTGCTGCAACACTCTTCTTCCAAAGGCAGCATCCGCCGATGCAAAACTATCCAAGAGATAATGACATACAAAGA